TGAACAGACACTTTTCAAAAGAAGACATGTATGAGGCCAAAAAACATGAAAAAATGCTCATCATCACTGGTCATTAGAGAAATGCAAATCAAAACCACATTGAGATACCATCTCATGCCAGTTAGAATGGCGATCATTAAAAAACACTATATGTATCCCTCCTCCATCCCCCAACAATATAAGGAGAAAGTGATTTTGGATAACCATCTGTACCCACAAAGCCTAAAACAGAGAGATATGTTTAAATTTCTTCATGCTGACTCTATACTCTTATGAAGGCACATTTGCCACTTTGTATAAAAGGTCTGTGGTCCCACAAGTGATTACATAAGTAGGATTGACTCAGAACAAGGTTCAGTGCTTTGTTGCGTCTTCATGGGAATGGTCAACAGGGGTCTCTCTAGACTAGAAAATAACTGTGAAGAGCGATGGCTCTTTTCCATTTTTCATGAGGCTTAGGTGACCATTTATTAGGGAAAGATAGTCATTGCTAGAGTTTATTTTGCTTTATAGGTCAAGTGATCAAAATGTGAGGGGGATTAGTGCTGAATGCATATCTCAAATTCTAATACATCAAATTGTTTCTTATACTGAGATAATGCCTCCTTCCACTGTCTTTAGCTTTAAAACAACCCCTGGACACTAGAAATGGGTGTTATGGAAGAACTCTTACATCTTTGCTTTAAATTGGCATATTTTTGTGTCCTACATGCTCCAGACAAGAGGAGTGAAACACACACACACACACACACACACACACACACACACACACACAGTATTATCTCTAAGACTGTAGACACTATGCAGCTATTGAATAATAAATAAAATTTATACCTATCAATCAAGTTGTAAGTTATCTTCCATATAGCCTTTTTTTACAAAGAAAATTTTCACTGACTAAGGATCCCCCTCTCCAACTTTTGAAACTTGTTGACTTATCCAAAATCATTTTCTCCTTACAGAAGAATAAAAAGAAAGATGGTGAGTATGGGAGAACAAAATTGATGATGATAGAGCCCCTTTTTACTAACATTACACTTGGTTATGACTTAGCTTTAGAATAGCATTCCAAAATGCATTTTGACTTTTAAAGGCAGGACCTCCCTTGACTTCAATGCAATGACTAATTCTGTTGGAATATCCCTTTCCTGCTTTATCTCTTCATTTACATATTGCCTCCAACTATTGACGGGGATCTTATGAGCTGGCATTTGTCCTTCTATATTTTATTCTATATTCCTATGATTTTAAAAACAGATTTTATCTCTGTATTATTAATTTCTTAGGTGTGCTTTTCTTCTTTTACTGGTCCTTACGATATTTCCTGCAATTCTAATTCTGATGTCTTCTGACTCACATATCATATTTTTCAGGAATCCTTTGGTTGAAAGGGGAAAATCTGAACTGGAGTAAACAAAGAAGGGACTATGGTAAGCTGAATAATGCCCCTTCTAAAATTGTCTATGCCATCATCCCCAGAACCTGTGAATATGTTACCTTATGTGGTAGAAAGGACTTTGCAAACATAGTTAAGCACTTTAAGATGAGGAGATTAGACTACCTAGGTGGACCCAAAGTAATCACAATGGTTCTTAAAAGAGGCAGGAAAGAGGATCAGTGTCAGAAACAGAAAATGTGATGGAAGCAAAAGGTTGAAAGATGAGAGGAACGGACCATAAGCCAAAGGATGCAGATAGGTCTTTAGAAGCTGAGAAAGAAAGAGACCCTCCCTGAAGACACTAAAAGGAAAACAGTCTTGTAGACATCTTGATTTTAGCCTCTGAATTTTAGAATTATGAAGTAATAAATGTGTGTTGTTTTAAGCCACTAAATTGTGGTAATTTTTACAACAACAATTAGAAAATGATATAGGTTATTTATTTGCTTATGTCTGGTTCAGGTAGAACTGAATTCAGATTTTTTTTTCTGATTTGAGATAATATATTCATCCTTGTCTAAATCTTATAATGAAACATCTATGATTTAGTATAAAATGATGCATAAACTTGTGAAGTGGACAGACCACGAAAGCTTTATGGATTTTTTATGTCCCCTCTTACATATTTGGTGTCTCATATATTTCTAATTCTACAGGATTTTCTTTTATATAGTCTTTCCAAAGCATTCAACTTTTATATATCAACATATAAATGTGATACCTTTTCTTCTTTTCCCTCATATTTCATTAGTTTATTCAATATTCAATACAATTTTACAGTTACATTTGAGAAGAAATACTGATGACTCTTAATTATGATATTGTTAAGCTAGACAGAACCACATTCAGTGTGCATAGTTACCTTATAATGTTTTAATGAAGGCATGAAGAGTAAATCCAAATATTTTTGGAATAGAGATCAAGTAAGACAACATATACTATAGCACCAACACACATCTATGAATTAGGCTCCGTTGACCTGGCTTCGTGGACCTGCCTGTGCTTGACATCATCACTGTGGCCAAAAGAATCTAGTACAGATAACGTTGGGTGGTTCCCCATCAGTCAATTTCAGCAACCTCTATTTCCCTTGACTTTTTTACCTTCCTCCTCCTATAGAAACTGAATAATCTAAATACTTGATTTCCTAGTCCCTATTGCAATTACAGATAGACATGTTGTAACTATTGAGATGTAAACAAAAGTCTGCTCAGGAATTTCTGAGAAAGGACTTTCTCTCCAATAATTGGTAAGGTGGGGGCAGGGTGCATTTCTTATTGCACCCTGGCCCCAACTTCTTGCAGGTACAGTCATGTGATTATGAAGGACAAGCTAAGAGAATTTTTAGGAAACCTATACAACAGTGTGAAATTATGAAGTTACTGAAATAACCTGGAACATGTTCTTGGTTATGCTTTAGTTACTTTAATTTCGTTTCCTTTTGTAGATGAATACTACTTTACTGACAGAGAATGGAACAAACTGAGGGGCTAAATGACAGTTGTGTGCTCCATTCCAGAGATAGTGTGTATATATTGTTGAATAGTCATAGACTGACACAGTGCGGGCTGCATTCATTACCCAAAGGAAAACAGAAGTATAATTATTAAAAGAAGGAGAACACACATTTAGATAGAAATAACACAAATCAATGTCACATGGAATCTAAAATACTTTTATTTTTTATTTTTTATTTTTTGACACAGAGTCTCATTTCATCTCCCGGGCTAGGGTGCAGTGGCATGATATCAGCTCGTTGCAATCTCCACCTTCTGTTTTCAACCAATTCTCCTGCCTCAGCCTCCCGAGTAGCTGGGATTACAGGCATGCACCACCACACCCTGTTAATTTTTACATTTTTAGTAGAGATTGGGTTTCACCATGTTGGTCAGGCTGGTCTCAAACTCCTTGCTGCAAGTGATCCACCCACCTTGGCCTCTCAGAGTGCTGGGATTACAGGTATGAGCCACCACACCCAGCCAAAAAAAAAAAAAAAAAAAAAAAAAAAAACCTCTGCTAATCTTATATGGGTCCAAAGTTAAAATGTAAACAATAGGTATTGTTTCCAGAAAAACCTGAAGTGCTGAACTCTACTACTCTGCTTCCCTAAACTTTGCTAATATTTCCTTTCCTTTCCCTTTTTTTCCCAAGATGCCTGCCACTTGTAAATTAGAAACGAATATGCAGTAGGAAGATAAGTTGACATCAGCTAGAGTCAAATGAAATTGTCAAAAAAAGAATGCCAGTCATTTTAAGCTGCTATCTGAAGTCTGTCTGCCTGTCTCTTTCCTGTAGTCTCTGAAAGACAGCTCTTGCTAAAGGTATATGTCATGTCAGTCAAACACCATAGGTGGTGTTTGGAGTTTGCAGTATTGACAATAGGTATTTGCTTTTGTCTCCCATAATCCCATCATAAAGGTGTGTGTTAGGTACAGATACGTCTTGAAAGAAAAGAGACACAAATGTTGGACAAAACATTGTAAATAGTAGGAAATATTGCCCATTGTTTCTTGACTTATGAAATGAATCTGCTTTAACAAAAATCTTTCCCTATATTTGAGTACTAAATCATTTTTATGACTGATTTTATAAAACTGTATAGCTTTGCAGCCAGGCAGAAAAATGCATGGCTTGCCTAAGTTACAATTCAATAACGTTACTGGGAATCTACCAATTTAAGTGCATAGTTTAAAACTGTGTGAAGGGTGATAGAAAACTTAGGAGACAAAAATTCCTACATTTAAGTGACTTATAGTGGTGGTGGAGGATGTGGGAAAGAAAGGCAATTTTATAATTATAATTCAAGGAAACTAAGTAAGGCACCAGAATAGAGGTGGAAAATATTATAGAAATTCTGATTGGCATCTGGTGTAAGGATCAGGGAATCTTCAAGATGAGAATGATATGTAATGTGACATTATTTGTGTTGACTCTGAAAATGAATTCTATTATTAAGACAGGATCATCTATATGGTAAGCCCAGACCTTTAATGAAATAGGTAGATGATCTGGAAAAAATTCCCTTTGTTAATTCAGATCTATCTGTAACATAAACAGTGTTATATTAATGATAAGATTTGCCTGTGATTATTATTTTATGTGTATTTAAGTATAGAATTCTAATTTAAATACAAAGTTTAAATGAAGAATGGAGTGGTAGGTACTTTTATAATTAATTGCAGTATGAGTACTAATATCAATTTTTTGTATGTAAAAAAGCACTGAGAACAGAATCATTTGTGTTCTTGTAACATTAAATTTATTGCTTTTTTCTTCTAGTTCATTTAAAAATAATTTCAGCCACAGAAAAAAATAAAGTGAATCAATTATTTTGTGAGAATAAATTAATTCTTTGATACAAAAGAATTAATAAACAACTTAGCACTGATAAATCTCAAAAGGCAACTATGTTTCAGGCTAATAACAATACTTTGATCAAAGACAAGACATACCAAGGAGAAAAGGAAAAGCATATACCTATTTTAGAAGTCTTTAAGAAATTCTATATCCCCAAAATAGAAAAAAATAAAAGACAAAGTCAGATAACCAGAATGCTATAGAAATGTCTTTATTTAAAGAGGCTGTGGACATACTCAAGACAGAGCGGCTGGGACATGGCTACCACACCCTGGAAGACCAGGCTCTTTATGACAGGCTGCAGCAGGCAAACATGTACTTCGAGATATGCCCCTGGTCCAGCTACCTCACTGGTGCCTGGAAGCCGGACATGGAGCATGCAGTAATTTGTCTCAGAAATGACCAGGCTAACTACTCGCTCAACACAGATGACCCACTCATCTTCAAGTCCACCTTGGACACTGATTACCAGATGACCAAACGGGACATGTGCTTTACGGAAGAGGGGTTTAAGAGGCTGACCATCAATGCAGCCAAGTCCAGTTTCCTCCCAGAAGATGAGAAGAGGGAGCTTCTTGACCTTCTCTATAAAGCCTATGGGATGACACCTTCAGCCTCTGCAGTGCAGCACCACTGAAGATGCCACCCCTCCAAGCCTTCACCCTGCGGAGTCACTCCAACTCTGTGGGACTGAGCAGCATTCTTAAATTTATTCCTTCCAAGAAGACCATGATCTTGATGGTCAGTTACTGATGCTCCTGAAGCCTGTGTGTCCATTTCTGCACACACGTATACCTCGGCATGGCTGTATCACTTCTCTGATTATGTGCCCTGGACAGGGACCAGTGCCCTTGCACATGGGCATGATTGAATCTAAACCCCTCCTTCTGTGGCGACTTGTACTGAAAATCTGGTGCTCAATAAAGAAGCCCATGGCTGGTGTCATGCAAAAAAAAAAAAAAAAAAGAAAGAAAAAAAAAAAGAAATTTGTTATCTCTTCTGTAGCCTATTTGCTTTCCTTTCCATCAGATGCACTAATGGTTGGCCTACGTAATACTCAGACAGGGCTGAGGAGAGAAGGGCCGAAGTTAGCTCAGACTTTAGTTTAAACAGTATTAGGAGGTCATGGAGGCATGACTGTATTTTCTGGTCTACGTGCACACTGAATGCTTACTTTGATCTAGACACTGTGTTTGATGAGTGTGTGTGTACACACACACACATACTCATTTAAACCTTATAGTAATCCAAAAGGCAAGATACTGTTACTGGCATTTGACAAATGAAGAAGCTGATACAGAGAGAGCTTTAGCAATGACATAAGATGCTACAGTGGAAGCTTCAGTTTAGACACTGCAGTGATACGTATTGTATCAAAGGAAGTTTTGAGGTATAACACATAGGACTGGTGGTTTTAAATCCTCAGTGAATCTTAAATCTGCCATAACCATGGAGGGCATAGAAAGGATCAGGTCCTTGGAGACTGGGGAAGAAGTTTTTTTGAAGATGATTTCCTTGGACAGCGCTGTGAGCTCTACCCCTCTGCAAAAGTCAGAGTTGAAGGTATTTTCTTTTTTTTTTTTTTTTTTTTGGAATTGAAAGAAGATCAATGACTAAAGTGGAGAGGGTGAAAAAAAAAGCTAGACAGTTGGCTGGGATCCAGTTCACTCAGAGAGTCTATTCCTTTTCCCAGGAGAGTGGAACATTGTGAAATATTTTACACAGCAGGATGACACATTTACAGGTGCATGTTTGCTACTCTGTGGAGAATGAATGGGCTGCAGCCAAAAGTGGGAGCAGGGAAGGCAGTTGGTAAGCGGTGGCAGTGGCTCCACTGAGAGCTGATGGCCTGGACTGGCAGGCTGGCAGTGGCAATGATGGGCTCAAAATTGAATCAACGAGATGAGTTTATAGAGTAGATATGGGAGTAAGGGGAAAATGCCAGTTTTTATGGAACAATTTTAATGTAAAAGAGTAGATAATATCACACTGAACCTTCTGGACTCTGAAAAAATGGCTTAAAAAATTCAATCCACCACCAAAAGCAGCTCATGCAAAGATGTCTAATGTCCACTCTTTAGGCGATTAAGGAGGAATTTTAAAGGAAAATATTTGTGTTCTCATTCCAAGAATGCATATACAAGTCAGGCCTTGCAGTTCACTGCTAATGGTATTTAAATATCTTTAGCAAAAATGAATCTGTTGATTGCCAAAATTGCCTAATAAACATAACACACTTAGCGCTGGAAAAAGTACAAATAGAATTTTCCCTGCCAATTTGCCCCTGCCTTCCTTGCTTTTTTTTTTTTTTTTTTTTTTTTAACTTCCCAGGTACATTTAAACAATGTATACCCTGCACTGGATTACTTTTGGTAGTAATCTCAGTGGTTCTGAGTCCTTCTTGAATTTACTCCTTCCCATTAATGTATTCCCAGAATGCATTTTTCTTTTCATATCTGAAGGACTTCTTTACTCTGCAAAATAAGACTTACTACTCATGTGTCCCATGGTATATTTAGCAAGACACATTTTTTTTTTCACTGCTGCCTATATATAAGGTTTTATCTATCTATCTATATATATATACACACACACATATATATTTATATAAAATGGTTGACATTAATTATAACCACCAGATCATCCCATTTTCTGACAAGATTTTTAAAATTATTACTATTACTTTATTTTTATTTTTACTTTTTTTTTTAGAGTGGGGTCTGTCACTCAGGCTGGAGTGCAGTGATGCTATCATAGCTCACTGTAACCTTGAGCTCCTGGGTTCAAGCAATCCTCCCACCTTGGCCTCCTGAGTAGCTGAGACTACAGGCATACACCACCATGCTCAGCTTCTGACTTGATTTTAATTCATATTTGGTTATTACAGAATACCAGTTTTTTCTTGGTTTAAAAAAACCCCTTCCCTCTTCCAAAGCTGCCTACCCTCCTGGCTTCTTGCCTTCCTGCCTTGCTGCTTTCCTTTAGTCTTCAAACATTTTATCGAATAAATATGAGGGCTCGCCCAGAAATGCCTTGACACTGGTGACATAAGAGTGAAAATGAGTCCTTTTTCTTATAGCTTACAGGGAGTAGACAGAAGCTATTATAAACAAAATAATTTTAAATATTAATAAGGATTATCAGGAAACAACACCATGCTCAGTGAGAAAATAAAATGCCATTTTACACAGAATTCCCAGGGACAGGATATCTGAGGAAATGCTATTTCAGTTGAAAACTGAAGGATAAGCAAGAAAGAGCCAAATGCACTTCAGAGGAAGTGTTTCCGTCAGAGGGAATAATAAATAGTTGTCACAGGGAAGGCCACTACAGTCCAAATGGTACTTCATAAGATGTGGAAAATGATGCCTCTTTCTCAAGACACTGAGGGAAAGTTACTGAAATAAAGACACCAATACGTGAAAAATTCAAATGTGAGCTTAATCCCTAATATGTTCAATGTATACTCTGTACCATTTTATGTTGCAGCCTGGTAAAGGCCCTGAGTTAGGAAAGACATTTGCATGTTCATAAAAGTAAAATATATCTCATGATCCTAGATTCTACTCAACATGATGGAGAAATAGGCAGGAATCAGAGTCATGGAGTTTTTTGCACCTCAGCAAGTCAACAATGTCACAAGATTGAGAATGTATTTCTCCAGTGTCTTCTATCTTACTCAAATGGCAGCAGAATGGCTGCACCATCTCCATGTATAGCACATTTACACAATTTATTTCAAATGCAAAACATGGGGAATAGTTGGGGAAGAGAATTTTTCTTACTATTTGATTTATTATTTTCCCTGTTTTGCTTCCCTGTTCTCTTTACTCCCTTTTCTTCCTTCATCTTCTTTTCCTCCCCCCCCTTTTTTTTCTTCTCTCCTCCATCTCCTCATCTTCCTTCTCTTTCTTTTTCTTCCTTCTCCTCCTTCTTCAATTTAGGGAGGACAATATTTCCTAGAAGCCCTTTAGAGGACTTCATCTTATGCTTATCAGACAGTGCTTGCCACTTCTATATACCTCAGGCAGTGACTACCTTCTCTGCTATCAAGGGACATCCAACTAAACTTAACACCTGCCCCCAATCTGAACCTTATTTTCTACAGGGAAGATAATAAGCAGAATAATATCTACTAAAGTCTTATGGCCTTACAAAGATCCTCAAGCAATCAGAAGCGTCACAGGCTGTAAACAGGACAAATACATCATGTCATGTGTCTTAATGAGACAAATCTGAGTGCTGGATCGTGAATGTATTGAAGACACAAAAGTGGTGGCAGACAGACAAGTTAGGCGGTTTTTTTCAGAAGTTCAGAGATTTAAAGGTGACCAACACTAATGTGGTAATAGGAGAAATAAACAAAAGAGCTAAAGCAATCCCAAGGAGACAGGCAAGGATGCAACTCTGTTCATTTTGCATCTTTGGCTTCTAACTTAGAGCTGGACACAGACTGCTAAACTCTATCATTAGAGGAGAGAAAGGAGGAATGGCCCATTCTTTTCACCTTCTTTATTTTCCTTTTATGTATGAAATGACATAAAACACATCAAATAAAATCAAATAACCCCTTTTCTCTTACATTAGAGACAGGCTTAAGTTTTGGAGAAAAATTTTTGTAAATCTCTGACTAAATGGAAACCATGACTCATTACCGAGTCTTATGACTTATTTATTTATTATTTTTCATCCCCTTCCTTGCATGAGGCACCTTGCAAAGTCTCCCAGAGATTTTTTACTCAGTTTCTGAAGGTGAAGCAATTGAAACACTGGCTGCATCTGCGATGACAGTGTGTGTGAAAGGATCAGTTCCTCAGGGAGAATGCTCCTATTACTCTCCCATTGACTTTATAGGAATAAGAGAGACTTTTGTGTAAAAGTGGCAGCATGCTGTAAGTATCTACTCCCTGTGTGCCTTAAATATCCATGTCAAGTGTGCTAAATTTATTGACAAAATCCACACTGTTCTCCCTGATGGCAGTACAGAAACACAAGAGCTACAGATGGACAAGCTGTGTTTGGGTCTGCCTTACACATCAACAACAGAATTGCCTTTTAGTTCATTTTCCATAATCTTTATAGCTGATGGTGAAAAAAATCTTGGTTTCAGCTACTTGGTTGAAGCCTGCAGCATCAGCAATGCAAGCATTTTATTTAATGGCCTTTAGTTGGAAGAGCGAAATAGCGATATGGTTATGTAATTATTTCAGGGTTAATTCTTTATTATTTGTAAAAGTTTCATATAGTCTTTTAGAAGACTTAAGAAGCAATATAGAACTTTGATGCCAGATAAAGCTCCAGAGAGCTTCCTCTGAACAAAGAGGAAGTCCAGAAAAACTATTTTAGAGTAATGCATTTTCCCTTATCTTTGTTGTTAAGATTTAAAAATATCTGGCCTCAATAGTTGATAACTTCCAGATTAAACTTTTTTTAACCTAAGCTAAAATTTACAAGCATTACTAAGTGAACAATTTAATATGTTTTATCAAATGTATGCACCGATGTAATCCTGCTTTCCAGTCCAGGTATAGAACATTTCTACCTCACTGCAGTAAGTTTTCTAACGCCCTCTTTCCAGTCAACCACCTACCCCAATTGGACATGGAGAGGGAACCACTACTCTTTTTCCTATCATAA